GAGGGAGGGAGGGAGGAAGGAAGGAAGGAAGGAAGGAAGGAAGGAAGGAAGGAAGGAAGGAAGGAAGGAAGGAAGGAAGGAAGGAAGGAATTAGATGTGGCAGGAGCTGGGGGTATCTACGGTGACCCTAAGACACTGAGTTTGTGTTAATGGGAGAAGGCTGGTCATCACAGATACAAAAAAAATGTCTGGAAGTTGCCCAGTTTGGGGGGAAAGTTTAGAGCTTCCTTTTGAAACATGTAAGTTTGAAATGCTAACGGAACTTCCAAGTAGAAATGTCTGTTATCTGACAAAATCTATAGAAATTTTGGAAGCTGTATCTGAGGATTCCTGATTATATCTTAACAATTACACAGATTAAAAATTAACACTTTTAGATCCTTAGAGACAAGATGGGGGCATCATTACTGTGAACTTGATAATAACAAATTGTGTTTTTATATTTGTAAGCTTCAGATAATATTAAATTCATGAGATACTAAACAAAATCAAATGTCAGTAGAAGTCCTGGTCACTTAATTTCAAAGGCACATCTCTTTGGACAGGGGTCTTGCATGAAGTCCTACCCAGAATCTCCTGAGAATACACCTCCTCCCACACCAACAGCTCCATCATCTGGATCACAGCACGCAGGGAAAACCACAGCAGGATCCCTAGGGAATGGGAATGCTGGACAAGACTCAGCTAAAGCCAAGCAAAGGAAAAGAAAAAAGGTCAGTGATATTTTTTTTCTCTCTCTCTTTTTTTATTTTCCAGAGTGGAGAAAGCCTTGTTGATTTCTTTTCAGAGACAGGAAAAATGTGCTCTGTTTTTCTCATAATTCAAATTTTTAGAAGCAGCCAATTTATACTTAATCATACTTAATGATTTTTACTCACTCAAACTTTAACAGCTTTCTTCTGGAGAAAAGAAGATACTGAATTTTTTAACATTTTATTTTAAAATTTTCAAACATACAAAAGTTGAAAGACTTGCAGAATGAACACCATATATCTGCCATCTAGATCCTACAATTAACATTTTACTATATTTACTATGTTAACTGTATATTTACTTTTACTATATCTATGTATCTTACTGTTCCTTTACCCATCAGTTCCATTTTTTTGATACCTTACAAAGAAAGCTGCAGATATCAGTGCACTTCATACCTAAATGCTTCATTGTTTATAATTTGTTTATGGTTCTTTTTTTAAAGGTAAAACATATACACAGTGAACCACTCAGTTCTTAAGTGGTTGAATTTGGGCAAATATATAAACCTGTTTTCTAAGCCCCTCTCAAGATATCAAACAGTCCCACCGGTTCAGAAAGCTTCTTCATGCCTCCTCCCAGTCAGTTTTTGCTCCCTTTCTCTGGGAATGACTGTTCTGTTTTTCCATCATAGATTAGTGTTTTCTGTTCTACAACTTCATGTAGAGAATATAGTATGTTCTACTCTTTTGTGTGGAATGTCTTTCACTCAGGATATTTTTGAAATTTATGTTTTTCAGTGGAAGTATAATGTATTTCTCTATCGCTGAGTGATGTTCCCTTGTATGAATATATTTGTTTATTCATTCTCATCTTGGTGGACTTTTAAGGAGTTTCCAGTTTTTAAGGTATTATGAATAAACCTGTTACGAGCATTATTGTGCAAGTCTTCGTGGAAAAATGCTTTTTTCCCTCTCAGGTAAATAATTAAGAATGAAATTACTGGTCACAGAGTAGTTGTATATGTTCAGTTTTTAAAGAAACTGCAAGACATTTTTCCCAAAATGGTTCTATCATTTTTACTTCCACCAGCAATATATGAGAGTTCCAGTTGCTCCATGTGCTCATCAACATTTGGTGTTGTCACTGTTTTTGCTTTCAACCATCCTAATGGATACTTAATAGTAAGTCATTATAGTTTGAGTTTCCATTTCCCTGGTGAGTAATGATGTTGAACAATTTTTTCATGTGCTGATTGGCCATTCACACATATTCCTCTGGGAAGATTCTCTTCAAATCCTTTACCGGATGGGCTGCCTTTTATTACCAACTTGTAGGAGTTCTTTATGTATCCTGGGTAACAAGTCTGTGGCTTAATGGTGTATTTTGATGAGCAGAAGTTTTGAACTTCTGATGAAGTCTAATTTATCCAGTTCTTTCTTTTATGTTTATTGCTTTCTCTGTCCTGTCTAAGAAATCTTTGGCTACTCCCAGGCCATGATGATGTTCGCCTTTGTTTTCTCCTGGAAGCTTTATAGCTTAACTTTTATATTTCTATTAATCAAGTCAGATTAACTTTTGTGTATTGTATGAATTGAGGCCAAGTTCACTTTTTCATATATGGGTATCTAGTTATTGCGGATCCATTTGTTGAAGATTCTTTTCTCCCATTGGATTGCCTTGGTGGCTTTGTTGATAATCAGATATCCATCTAGCTATGTCAATTTATTTCTAGAATTTCAGTTTTGTTTCATTGCCTTAATTGTCAGTCCTTTTGTCAGTATCATCTTTCTTGATTACTGTAGTTTTACTTTCTTGATTACTGTGGTAATTCTTCAAGTCAGGTAGTGTAAGTCTTCAAACTTTATTTTTCAGATTTAAATGGGTTTTCTGTGTCCTTTGCATGTATATAAATTTAGAATCAACTTGTTAGTTTCTATCAAAAAGAATGAGAGAGGGAGGGAAGGAGACAAAGGCAGGAAAGGGAAAAAAGAAAGAAAAGCCTAGGGGAATTTTTGAAAGGGATAGAGAGAGAAAAGGCAGACAGCTCTGGTGTTGGCAGGGACAGACAGTGGGATGGAGTGGGGGATGGTGGTGGAGAGATTGAGCCAAAAAAAAGAGAAATAATGGACATGGACAACAGTGTTTGTGACGGGGGGAGTGGGTTGGGCGTAGGGGGAAGAAGTCATAGAGGAGATAAGTGGTGATGGCAAAAATAAAAATTTTTTTAAATTGAAAGGGATTAGATTGAATGCTTACTCAATTTGGGGATATAATGTCTTAACAATACCAAGTATTATAAGCCATGAACAAGGCATATCTCCCCATTTATTTATATTTATAAAATCTGTCTTTTTATCACTGGCAATACTATTCATCCTGAACTGTATTTTATCTGATTAATATAACCATTACAGCCTATTGTGCTGTTTATATGATATACGTTTTCTATCTATTTCCTTTATTATATCTGCATCTTTAATATTTAAAGTACATTTCTTGTAAACAACAAGTAATTGGGTCTTTTTTCTTTTTTTTCTGTGTCTATCTTTTAATTACAATTTTAGTTCCATGATATTTAATGTATTTATTGAAATGGTTGGATATAGGTCAACTATTTTGCTCTTTGTTTTCTGCTTGTTCTCTCAGTTTTTGTTTCTGTTTTTCTTTCCTGTCTTCTTTTGAGTTAATTGTGTCCTCTTTTAGAAATCTATTTTAATTTATCTACTGGTGTCTTAGTGACATCTCTTTGCATCATTTTTTCCAGTGGTTATGTTAAGGATTATAATATACATTTTTTTAGTGTTTTTTTAATTGGTTTTAGAGAGAGAGGAAAAGAGAGGGAGGGAGAGAGAGAGAGATAGAAACATCAATGATGAGAGAGAGTCATTGATCAGCTGCCTCCTGCACGCCCCCTACTGGGGATCAAGTCCGCAACCCTGGCATGTGCCCTGACCGGGAATCAAACTTCGGTCTCCTGGATCAAAGGTATCAAGATGCTCAACCGCTGGGCCACACCAGCTGGGCTATAAATACATTCTTAAGTTTTCAGTGTACTTGAAATTATTATTGTGCTACTTTACTTACATAAAATATAAGCCTATTATATTTGTATAGGCCCATCTATTCACTCTTGCTCTTTATGCTGTAATTATAAAAATCTTACATCTACATGTGTACTAAACCATAATACTATTTTTTGCATTAAATAAATATATTTCAGTGAAACTAAGAGGAAAAATAGACTGTAACATCTACCATTTCCACTGTTTTTCATTTCTTTTTGATTATCAGAATTTTCTTCTGGTATCATTTTTTGTTCTAGATTTTGTTTAGCCTTTTTAATAGTGCAGGTTGGCTGATGATGGTTCCTTTTAGTTTTCATATTTCTGAAAATATCTTTACTCCTTTATTCACTGGATATAGAATTCTGGGTTGGCAGTCCATTTTCAGTACTTTTATGGTATCATTCCACTATTTTCTGGCATTTATTATGTTTAATTATATGTCTGTAGATTTTGTAGTATTGTTTCTGTGTACATAACCTGTATTTTACTCTGCATGCTTTCAGGATTTTCTCTTTTAAAAAAAAAACCAAAAAACAAAACCAACAACATGTTTTTATTGATTTTTTTTTTTTTAGAGAGAGAGGAAGGGAGAAGGGGAGAGAGAAAGGAAAAACATCAGTGTGAGAGAGAAACACGATCAGCTGCCTCCTGCAGGCACTTATCCCTACTAGGGATGGAGCCTGAAACATGGGTATTTGCCCTGACCAGGAATCAAACTGACCACCTTTCGGTAGACAGGACAAGGCTCAGTTAACTGAGCCACGCCAGCCAGGGCTCAGGGTTTTATCTTTAAGTTTGGTTTTTAGCAATTTGACCAGGATACACTCATACATGCTTTGTCTTGTGTTTAGCCTGCTTAGAATTCACAGAGCTTCTTGAATATTGAATATTGGTTTATGTCTTTAACCAATTTGAGGGGATTTTTAATTATATCCTGGACATTGTAAGTAACACATTGTAGAGATTTCAGATTCTGTTATATTCCTGTGAAGAGAGTTCTAGTTGGTAGAAGCATGTGTATATGTGTGTTAAGCAGGCAACTTACTTTTTTACTTTTTTAGATTCAACTCTAAACTTCAAACTCCTCTTCTGTGGCAGCAGCTAGAATCTCTCTTTTCTTCATTTAGCTATAGCAGGGTTTCTTAGATTCAATATCACACAGGAATGGTTTATGGATTAGTCAAAAAGTTTGGTAGTTTATACACTGATTCTTAATTCTATCTTTTTGGGGATTTTCTTCCTCACTTTATAGGTCTTCAAGCTGCTAAATCTGTGTAACGCACTATACTGACTGGAGTCTGCCCTTAGACTAAAACAGTAAAAACAGGAAACGCACCTCATTGCCATTCCATTCTTCTTACACACACCCCTTCCAGTTTCCACCTCGTTTTGATCAATCTCTGTTGCTATCAGGTACTTGTATTTTTTATAATTTGTCCAAAGTTTATCCTTTTACCTACATCTAGGTTGATATAATAAGAACCATTTGCCACTGCAGGTAGTGGCACCATGCCAAGATATAATTTCATAATTGATAATCAGCAAATTTAAATGTCAGCCTCATCTGCTTTCCCCTTTCATTTACAAAATGACACAGCTCACTGCTTATTTATTACAGGAAAATCTGAACTGTAAGGAACTTTTCTGTATTATAAAGTAGTTTCCAAGAATTTCAGCTACAGTGCTCTCTAACTCATTAAGTAACTAGAACTATGGTTACCTAAAAAACTTCTTCAGTGGGCTTGCTTTGTAACTAACCTGGCAATTATGTATACAAAAAATAATTCTTTATAAGTTAGAAGATTCTTGAAATTTTTTACCTTAAATATTTAAACATTTCTCTTCTAATCTTGTTGCAACTCTTAAATTAGTTATTTTACAGCAGAGGTTTCCTGAATAAAGCATTAGCCTGGTGCATGTCTAAATTTCCCTAAATTCAAAATTACTGTTATCAAAATTAATAATGTCTTTAATTCTTTATTCTTTATTCTCTATTTCTCTATTTATACAGTTTATTTCTACATTTATACAGTTTTGCTATATTTTTATTTTTACTCACTGGAGACTTCAACTATGGTGATAACATGGTACAATTCATTCTACATAAAATAATAAAACCCCTGTTATAAGCCAGCTTTGTGTACTAGAAGCCAAGAGATGTGACGTATCGCCGTATTCGGATTCTACCCTTGTAATCTTGAGCACATCCCTTATCTTCACTCTCCTATGAAAAGGGGTAGGAGTTGGGGAAGTTTAGAATAGGTGATATTTTGTGTTCCTTCCAGATTTAATAATGTATGACTCCTTGAATTCAGTGCTTCTCTTGTCTTCCCCTTAAATACCATTTCTGCTTTTAACACCTTTAGTTAAAGAAAAGCTTATCCTAGTGACACAGAACTACATTGCTAATAATTAACATTTCAGTTAAGCTTTGAACTGAAAAAATTAACTATATACTGTAACGTTTGGCCAAAGAATGGCCCACTTTCATCTGAAAAGAAACCCTCTCTAAGCACAAAGACCTGGGAGGGCCATATATATAAAACACGGAGGGGAAGGACGCTTGCCTGGCCAGTCAGGCTATACATCGTGGTCAGTTGTGACAGAAGTATTAGCAGTCGCAGCACCCCCCTTTCATTCGCTCTGATCTGGGAGATGTGTTACTCCTTCGTAAGACCTGATCTTTCAAGTGTAACGAAAGATCTAGTCCACCACGTGGGTGGGGGAGGAAGAAGAGGCAGCTCTCTGAGATTCCAGGTCCCTCTTAAACACTGGATCACCCTGGTAAGGGGAGGGCGGAACAAGGACAGGATACTTTTACTCACCAACAACTTTTAAGTTGGAAAGAAGAGTCAAAACAGGTAACAGACATTTATAAGAGATCCGGGAATTTCCATCTAACTTGTATTGCAGATAAGAGTTCAAACTGCAAGAGATTTAATTCAATGTGGGCCAGCAAGGACAAGCAGGGGACACTACTCAAATCCAAAAACAGGGAGGGCTGCAGCTTCCAACACCCAGCACCAATCTCTGGACAAAGAAACCTAAGTGGAGAGGAATGGAGGAGTACAAGAGAGGGGTGCGAATGCAGCCAGGAGGAGGGCGGCCTGGCTTACGAAGAGCTTTGCCAGCAGCTTGTACTTTCCTTAAGGAAACAGAGAGCTCAGTACCCACAGAGATGTTGGCAACTATAGAAAAGACTCAGTATTTTCTCAGATATGTGGGTTTCAGTTTTGAAAATGCAAAGAATATTCTAAAATATGGGCACAGTCAGAATAGGAAACATGAGTAGATACAAAAATCGAATACTCTCTATATGTGTTTACAGCAGATATAAGATTTTCTTAAATAACAAATAATAAATATTTAAATGTAATGCTAATTCTTCTGAAACGATTTTGAAGAATATTATAAACGTGATAAAGTCACTGCTAAATTAAAACTTCTAAACTTGATATGAATTTGGAATTTGAACAGATTATAAGTACCTCGGTGAGAGACTGGATAGTGACAGAAATGGGAAGATATTTGTGGAGATGGAAACAATACTGGGAATACAGCATTTTAGATTTAAAGGTTCCCTTCCAAAGAGCCCAACGGACAAGTCAGTGGAGAGCAGAAGTGTACGTGGTAAACATCATGCTAATGTTTGCAGTTGCCCAAGTATACCAGGTCAGCCTGAACTTGGCAAAGTGGAAAATCTAAAGACATTTTTCACAGAATTGAATATCTTTTATTTTTATATCAGTTACCTTAGTCTTTTTGGCACAGATGACATGATTCCCCCAGACTGACGTACTTGTGTTCATACCGCTCGAATAACATGCTTCCTCCTCCAGGATCTCCAGTCCTGGTCGCCCTGCGGAAGTTCTGAGAGGTTTTCACCAAATGCTCTACACCAAAACCAAATTTATTTGGGAAAGTAGAAGAGTAGACTCTCCATTGACCATGGGGAAAAGAAATGAAAAATAAATTCACTTTTCATGAGAAAGGAGATGCCATAGAGGAACGCACAGGAAGGACTTCTCACCCCACTTAGTGTACAGGGTATTGCCCCTCTTGATGTCTCTTTATTTCCACCTGAGTTTCTACTGGAAAAACTTACTTTAGATTCCACGCATAGCTAACTATTTGCACTCACGTCCACAAATGGATAGAGTGCCCAACTGACTTCATAAGCATTTGTTACACCTATTTGGTTAATGAGTCCACAGGGGTAGGCAAAACAGTTATGAGTACATGAAACAGTTTATTCTTGTATTATTATTTATTAATCATTGTGTTATTTATTTGAATTACAACTGTAAACCTACTTTTCCTCGCCCCCATATATTAGTCCTATTCACATTTTGGAGCCAAATGAACTCTCAGAAGTGTCTTTACCTTAGTCAGGCACCTGATAATTGCATTTATTCTGATATATTCCAACTGAAACAAAGTATTTGGAACAAGAATCGAGAAGGCGCTCAGTAAAAACCCTGCGCACTTTTATATCAGTGCCAAAGTGAGGGTTTAACCTGTGTTATTATATAACTTAATCCGTGTTATTGTGGGCATGGCAGATATGTTATTTAGGGCTTTGTTGGAATTAAATTGAGAAAGATACCCTAGAGTAAATTTCTGTTTGGCATATTTCAAATCTTGTGAAAATAGTAAAAATAATCAAGATGTATTTTGTTTGAAATTTTAAATCTTATTTCAGATTCAGCTTGGATAATTAGCAGATGCTCTCGTTTTGTAGGAGTTTTTAAATCATGTTACTAGTTTGTAATAGGAAACGCATGCACAAGGCTCAAAAAGTGTATTTTAAAAGTACAGAAGGACATGCAGTGACCAGTGTCTCCTCTGCCCCTGCCCCAGCCCCCCCTTCTCCTCCAAGACTGTTACTGAGTCCTGGCGAACCCTCCAGAAATACTCTGCGCTTTCATGAGTATATATTCTCTGCACTCTAATGAGTATATAATGCGCAGCCCTTTTTGGCTTTTTTAAACCAACGGTAACATAGTGCCTCCCAGCCGTGTACCGTGCGCTGCTTCGCAGTGTATCCGCGAGACGGGCTGTGCACAGAGCCCAGCGGCAGCGTGTGTGCAGCTGCCTCGTTCTTTCTCGTGGCTGCTGTCTCATTGAATAGATGGATTATATTTCATTCCAGTGTTTCCTCATTCAGGAAGATTTAGTTCATCAGTACAGTGAATATCCTTACATGTATAGTATTTTGTACCCGTGTAATATATCTGTAGGATAAATCCTTATATGCAATATTACTGGGTCAAAAATGGTTATGCTATTTCATTTTGATAAGATTTTGCCAAATTGCTACCCATAGATGTTGTATTAGTTATACCCCCACAAGGAATTATGAGAGTGGTAACTGTAACAATTATCAGAAAAATAATCTTCATTACGTGACTACCAATGACTTCTAGACCACATTTATAGTAATACACAAGCTACTGTTTCTTTCCCTTGATTCTTTAATGTTGATGATCTGACATCTGGTATCCACTGCACTATAAAGCATTTATAATTATTATCCCAGTTTTGCAGATGAGGAAACTGAAGTGCAGAAATATACATAACTTGACAGAGCTGGTAACTGACAGGATGTGGACCTAGCTGGTTGGGAAGCTAGAGCCTGCGACTGAACCATGAGGCTATCATGCCCCTATTGTGCATTTAACATTTTTTTAAATCATGTTATATACATTTCTTAAGTTGGTATCCATGCTCTCATTGCAAATAATATTTTTCTTCTGTTTTTTTACATATTTTTACAGATGAAGCAGATTAAAATAGAAAGTGTTAATTTTATTTTGTTTTTGCCCAAAGGACACCTAGAAATTAGCACCAAGTCGAAACAATCTTTTATGACAGTCCCCCATGTTATAAATAAATATATAGCAACTTTACATTTTTTATTTTAAAATTGATGACCCTCAGGTTATTTCAGAAATATGCCCAACAAAATCCAAAGAAACATTTATGATAATAAATGTTTGAATTTTTTTAAAAAACTGCCCATGGTTCTTTCAGCAAGCCCCTGACACTCCATGTGCATGCAAGTGGCTGTATTGTCCTGTACTTGACTTGATGTAGCCCAGGTATTTCTGCTGCGAGCATAGAAATTGCATTTGGTAGGTCTGCTCGGAAGGGGTCATGGGAAAGTCATCGTTGACTTCTTAATGGAATTTTTTAGACGTAGTGTATGGCAGCAGCGGTGTGCATCCTAAGGGAAAAAACCATCCATTTTTATAAAAGTTTATTTTCATATTTTATACACTGTAGTTCTGTTGTGTGTTTTTGATTTAGTAACAATTTATGTGTTTTTCTGTCGCAGAGCACTGCGGCCTGTGGTGTTGAGGCTCACAGCGATGCCATCCAGCCCTGCCACATCAGAGAGGCCATTCGGCGCTACGGCCACAAGATTGGCCCCCTTTCCCCATTCACAGTACGTAATAACAGAGTTATAAAAAGTTATATTTATAATCTCAAAGAATTCTGATTTTCAAGTGGTCAAATGAAGAAGCAATGGAATTGTTGAAAGCAATTTGTGGTGACTGTAATTTTGTTGTATAAAAGTGGCATAATTCTCTTGGGAAATAAAAGTTAGTCATTTTTGTCTCTTTTTGGAAGGACAATTTTTTTCTACAAAATATTATTTTCTTTCAATTACAAATTATGCTTTTTTGTTGGAGCTTATATTTTCTATTTTGCAAAGCTTAGGTTTATAAAACTTTTTTGTCAAATTATATGTATCCAAATATTGCTAGAAGCACTTTATATTTTACAATTGGTTAGATTGGCAGTACCACTTCTATCAGATGTCCTGCTCCTAAACATACTTTGAGTTGGAAGGAGAAGAAATGATTTTTCTGCTGGCTTTGAAGTCGGCTGAAATGCGGAGTCTTCACATCTTCAAATGGCTTTAAAGCTTATAATCAGGGTTTGTTGTGTTTCTTTTTAAATAGAGAATTAAAGACTATATTCAATAGCCTAAAGAGTGTGTGTGTGTGTGTGTGTGTGTGTGTGTGTGTGTTAATTAAATGCTCATCTTGTGGCCCTTTTTAAAAAATATCTTTATTCATGTTAATAGAACTATCTCCAAGTCTTTCTCTGTTTATAGGGAATTGGTTTGATTTTCAGAAAGTGAGGTTTGATTTGTAACTGAGGAATAGTAGAATTTACCATTTGTTTCTTTTTTTAAAATTTACTTCTGCTATAATATCTAAAGCAGAATATCTATGTATAACACTATATATACATACATAAGTATAATATATATAGTTTAAGCTAATTGTTATCTAATAAATATATAACCAATATGCTTTTAAAACTAATGGTGCAATTTTAAAATGCTTAATTTAATTAGATCTGGAAAACAGAACAAGCAAGCCATGACCTAGGAGGTTCACTTAGCCACTGCCAGAGCAGACGGGCAAAATCAGCTGCCGGTGGTAAAGGACTCCACACAGGGGCACCCAGTTTTTATCACCCCCCAGAAAGGACCCACTTTGAACAATTTGCTTCATTACCTAGAGCTGTAAGAATTTTGCCAGCTTGCAAGACTAAATATGCCTATTCCATTTTATATCATGAGTAATATGATCAGGGAAACACAATTTCTATATATCTGTCTTTTTTAGTTAAAAATTCTCTTCAAAGTGGGATAGATTTGTAGACCATTTATGCTAACAATGTGGCCACTCTGCCCTGGCTTTCACATACCTTCAACTGCTATATGGAGGTGCTCCTGATGTTGGGGGATGCTGACTACTCAGTTCCCTGATGCCATTCCTTGAGGTGACACTTCATGTGCCACTTGGATACTTAGGCTGTGAGCTGCAGCTCCTAAGCGGAGAGGAGGCGTGTGGGCTACCTCTATAGTAACCATAGATTGAGACCTAAATTGTCATTCAGAAAGGCTAAGCTAACTTACCTCCAATGTAGAATTTCCTTTGTAAACTAAAATGCCCATGAGTAACTAGTACATATTTATGAAACACAGAAATCTTGTCTTTGCAACATGTCATTCTGAGTCTGGAATGCTTGTCTGACGTGTATATATAAATACAATATCTAATTTAGAGCATCTGTAACTTGATTCATATGTAACAAATAATTTGAAATTGATTTGAAGAAGTAAAATACCCAGTAGGTTACACAGAAATTTAATTCCAGCATTAATCAATAAACCAATAAAATGCTTTTAGTGAGGCATCATTCTGTCTCTACTATAGGACTTCTGAAATTTTATACAAAATCCTAACATGATCGATTCTGGGAATACAATTCATTGTATAAAGGATTGTGAGTTCTTCACCTTGGGAATTAATTGAAATGGTAGAAGAAACGAATGATTAAAGCCATGTTGGTTAGAGGAGAGGAAAAAGCACCCAACACTGCTTTGCACTGCTTTGCCCCGTGTGTCTGCTGGAGTAGAGAGGAAAGGGGCGGGGCGCAAACCCCAGTTGCTGCCACTCATGTGAGTGTTGGGGAGACGCTTATAAACCATCCATCCCCACTCAACCAATTGTAACAGTGCAGGCATAGCTCACTTTATTGCACCTTGCTCTATTGCTCTTCATAGATGTATTTTTTACAAATTGAAGGCAAGACCCTCCACCAGCAAGAAGATCACAGCTGGCTCTTGTGGTACTTGCTTTATTGCCATGGTCTAGAACCGAACCCACAATAGCTGCGAGGTATGCCTGTATTGTTTTTGGCATATTGGTTTTTATTGGTAAATTCTTTCTTTTCTGTATTTCCATTTATTCTCAGTCCTGTGCAGAAGATCAGAGAAAGTATCATACCTAGAAGATTTAAGTAATTTTCCTGAGGTTAAGTTATTGATTAGATTAAGTGATGGAACCAAGGCTAAAATTCAGGCTTTCCAATTCCCGGCTCCGAAATCTTTCTCCTAAAACACACATTTTTGCAACTGTCCTCACCCCTATATGCCTGATCTTCTGCATACACATGCTAAAGAACATTGGAAAAGATTAATTTTACTTCTTGCTTAGCTTTTATTTTTCCTAAATAATTCTGAAAACCACTTCAGAGTCTGACTTATAGTATTTACTTTAGAGAGTACTTAGGCAACCTAGAATGTCCTAAGTGGTTTTGATGCTTGGCATCTTATATTGTCCTTTTACTCACAGTAGTTGATATTATGTGAAGTTATATTGTGTGGTGATTGACTTGATCCTAGAGCCAAATGACCAGGGTTCAGATCCTAGTTCTGCCTCCTACTAGCTAAGTAGCCTTAAGGAAGTTTCTTAACTTCTCTATGACTTAGTTTCCTCATCTGTAAAATGGGTATAATAGTAGACCATGCCTCATGATAGAGTTTCAGGAGTACTATGAACTTGATATGTGGCAAGCTCTTAATAAATTATATTAATAATAGAAGTAGAAGTAGCAGTAGTGGCTGTAGTATATTTTCTAAAAGGTATCAGATTTGTATACAGTTAAAGTAGAAGCCATTCTTCCCCCTCCCAACCACACAGACACACACACAAAGGCCTCACCTTGTAATCACAGAAGAAACGAAAACCTGAATAATAATGTGATTTTTTACCGACTAAAAGTTTATACCTTGAAAATTTAAATACTATTTTAAAGATTACTGTTCCTGAGAATAAATAAATATTCATTTTTACTTTGGGAGTTAATATTGGTTGAAGAATGTTAATGGCTTTTTTATCACCATTATCACCTTAAAAACTTAGGTCTCAGTAACTGAATGTCCATAGTTACCAACAGATTTTTGCGTACTGGCTAGATGGTGTACACTAGCTCTTATGCAGCAGAAATCTACAGAACAAGTGGCATGGCCTCAAATTTATAAAGCTTCATCAAATTTCGTTTTTATGAGTTCATAATCTGTGTAAGTTAATTTTAAAAGTTTTCAAAGACAGATGACTAGATCACATTGCTAGCCTCATTCACCTCAGTTTTTAAATTTCTTCATTTTACTGTTTATGAAAGTAGTCTTAGTTTGCTAGAAAATTCAGAAAATATAGAAAAGTAAAGGCATAAAACTTACATTAAGAAGGGCATCAGGACTCAAAACAAGGTATAGCAAAAGCTTTAAATGAGTTGTCCTATTAGAAAATTAATTGGTATTTAATTGTTTGAAGAGTATTTTCTTTTTGCAGCCTAGAAATTCAAGTGCTTTTGGTAATTGTTTTTTAAAAATAATATTCTTAGAGTCCTGGCCTGTGTGGCTCAGTGGGTTGGGGATCATCTCATGCAGGGTAAGATTGCTGGTTTGATCCTGGGTCAGGGCACATGCCGGGGTTGTGGGGTTTGATCCCCAGTAGGGGGCAGGCAGGAGGCAGCCGATAGATGTTTCGCTTTCACATCGATGTTTCTCTCTCCCTTTCCTTTCCTCTCTCTCTAAAAATCAATTTTTTAAAAATCTTTAAAAAAAAATTCTTTGAAATTTACTTGTGCAAGTTTAGATGTATAACGCATTTTAAAATTTTGTGACTGGCCCTAGCCAGTTTTGCTCAGTGGTTAGAGCATCGGCCTGAGGACTGAANTGCTTTCACATCGATGTTTCTCTCTCCCTTTCCTTTCCTCTCTCTCTAAATATCAATTTTTTAAAAATCTTTAAAAAAAAATTCTTTGAATTTACTTGTGCAAGTTTAGATGTATAACACATTTTAAAATTTTGTGACTGACCCTAGCCAGTTTGGCTCAGTGGTTAGAGCATCGGCCTGAGGACTGAAGGGTCGGGTCCTGGGTTACATTCCAGCCAAGGGCACGTACCTCAGTTGCAGGCTCGAACCCCAGCCCTGGTCGGGGCATGTGCGGGGGGCAGCCCCTCCATGTGTCTCTCTCTCCCCACCCNACATCGATGTTTCTCTCTCTCCCCACCCCCCTTCCATCTCTCTGAAAAGCAATGGAAAAATATCCTCAGGTGAGGATAACAGAAATTTAAAGAAATTGTGGGTGAAGTGGGCTTTTATAGTTGGAGCATTTTGTTGTTTCCTTGGNGTGGGTGAAGTGGGTTTTTATAGTTGGAGCATTTTGTTGTTTCCTTGGAGGAAACACCCAGAGAGCAGCCCGGTGCGCTGGCCGCCGTCACGGGAGGCAGCACAGTGCTGTCCCCGAATCTCGGGCACGTGCGGGGACCGGCTCACGGGGGCCCGGCTCTGTGATCCCGAGGCCAGAGAGGAAGCTGCTCGCCGGGTGAGGGGCATAGCCCATGTGCGGGGCCCCGGCCCGGCTGAGCCTCCGAGTGGCCGAGTAGAGCAGGCGCACCGCCCGCTCGCCTGCTCCCGGGGCTCTGCCG